CAAATTTTCATGACAATTAATGTCAAATTAAGAAATCGGCAACTAAATTGAAACATTTCAAATTTTTTATTAAAAAAAACACACCACTCACAGATAATGAACAATTTTTCTTTATTTCTATAATAAACTAATGTTATTCGAATTTTGCATAAATTTCCATAATATTTAAAAAACGCCTAGGCGATAGATGTACTGTGATGGTACGAATAGAATGAGACCAAAAAACTAGAAACTACCAACAGAGAACATAGAATTTATAGAACAATAGCAAAGAACTGCTTTCCGATATAAAAAGGTAAACAATAAATAAGTAAATATCTTTATAATCCCTTCTTTGAAAGACACCAAAAAATTTGAAAACATGAATGCAATTTTGGTTGGTCTTTTGGTTGAAGTACGCATCTTCTAATTGTCCTTCCTCTCTTTGAATCCTCCTCCCCTTCCTGCCATAATCCCCGGACTTGGTGCAAGTGCAAACTTAAAAACCTTCCAAATCCCTCTCCACGCATAAAGCGGCGGCGGTGTTGCGGGCGCGCGTGGTTAGACTGGATCGTAGCGGCTCAGATAAGGGGGTGGCAGCGGCGTCGCTGGGCATAAAAGCGTGTATGTGCACGTCGTTACGGGCGGTGGTGACGGCGGCGGCGGGCAAGCGAGCGAGCAGTCATGGCACACAGCGATACATAGATCGGCAGCGATAAGTGGCTTCGGATCACGTATATACGCCTCGCCTTTGCGACACACACAGGACCGGACTCAAAAAAGACCAGATGGTCGTACCGAGCGCGTGAGAATTTTTCGTTATCTGCGAGGCATAAACGTGCCGATCGATAAGTGACACGCAAAGCGATAATTAACGTGGCCGAGGGTAAACGGGGCCAGCGGGGCTCTCCGCTACTGCCGACTGCTTGTCAAAGCTTTCAGAGGATGGATAGAGCAACAGGAAAAAACACTAACGGTTGTTGGAATGGGCGGAGATTCATAATTGTTTAAAAGTAACAAATTATTAAACTTACCTGTCAGCAATTTGTTTTAGGGAAGTAAAACACGTTTGAAGGTGTTTAGAAATCATTAAAGTTTAAAGAATATAAAACTAATGAGAATTGAAAGGATACTAGTATAGACGAGGATCATTTTAAGTTTGACTCAAGATATAAACTGAGATGAATTTTTGTAAAAGACAACAAAGAGTCGTCGAACCCAACATTACACATTTTTAATATTTTAACATCTTGAAAAGTTTCCTGAAAACTTCACCTCTTCCTTTCGTCCCTCTCCCCTCTGAGCCAATGTTTGCATCACCGATGCAATTTGAGCGTTTTAAGCGCTCAGTACATATCGTATAATCTGATAAAAACAATAGTGGAAGGACGTCGGCGACGTAGCCGGCGCACTAATGAAAAAACATCGGCTTGTGCGCGTCAAATTAAACATTCGGAGATAGGAGGAAGGCGACTTTATCGCACGACTAATGCGCAACACTAAAATTCGCAATGATATTTTAACAACTCAATCCAATCCGGTTTCGATCGACGTTTTGATTGCCAAACAACACGAAAACCACGACAGGACACAAAGGGAAAAACCGATCGGAAGAGATTTATCGTTTGGCGCGATATTATTTTTTCTACGGAACGTCGTCTTCCGGTTAATTATGTCCAACCGACCGGATGTGTGAAAACGCCTTCCGTCACCGCACCTTCCCAATTAAAATATTTATTATTGGCGGGACGATCAACGAATAACTGCGACACCAAGGAAGGTGCAGGATGAGGAACAGGAATCGTAAATCGTCACCTTAATTATCAAATTTCGTATCTCCAAAATCATAAACTTTACAGAAAACACAAAAAACACTCAAAAAAATAAATAAGACAAACGTTAAAAAAATTTCCTGGTTACTTTTCCAAATAATGACTATAAAGCGCAGTAAACTAGTTTTTTGTTTTGTTTTAATTGTATTTTTTTTTTTAATTTTTCTAGAACTAAAAGTAAATAAATATAAATACAGGGTGATTCACGGGGAATAATAAGCCTGACCAAATTATTGATGCAACCACTATTACACTTTCGCAAGTTGCTTTTCGACACTTTTAATTTGAATCCACGATGCCTATTATCATCATCAATCATCATCATTGTCATTTTTGAAAAAACGCTACAAATTTGTTATAAACTGAGCAAAATGTGGACTTATTTCAATAATGAAAAGACTGACATGATTTTAGCTTATGGAGAATGTTTGAAAAATGCATCTCTTGCTTACTGTGTGATGCACAATAATATCCCGAAAGAAAGAGCATCTTCTGACACGATCAGGTTAGTTTTGAAAAAATTTGGTTCCTGTTAAGTTATCAAGACGAAGGGTATCACTTTAATATACCCATTATTGTGTTGGTATTTCAATTACTTCTGTGTTTCATTATTTTCAAAACGGACAAATAGTTAGTGTGCTCGCTATGATTTCATATTTATTACAAAAATCTTTGAAATACACCTGACCTATGAAAATGTAATGTTGGTTGCATCGAGAATTTGGTCAGGCTCATCATTCCTCGTGAATCACCCTGTGATTATAATACGACGTCTAATTTTATACGTTAATTCGGATGGACGTATAGACTAAGTGTTCACCATACTAGATCGTCATAGAATAAGTTTTTAGGTATAAGGTTATTCGAAAAACAAGTTACGAGTTTCAGCTAGGTGAAATATATTATATTGCCAGAATTGGTCTGGCCGTTGCGCATTAAAAAACAAAAAAAAAAATGGAAAAATGAAAGAATAAGTAAAAGAGTGCGTTAACCCATAACGACCCCCGCGATCCATTTCATGGACCATTTGATGAATTATAATCGTTATATCCGGCCTGTGTCTCGCCGTCGCCTAATTCCGAAATCGGAGCAAATATTTAAAGGGGGATGAGAGTTTAATTAAGGCGCCGCCGGAAACGGTCACTCGGAAAACAACAGGTTCACTCATAGGAACCTTATCGATCGGAGTGAGATTTATTACGCCACGTACGACGAGATAATGCGATTTTTTACACGCGCTGAAAAAGAAAGAGTTCATTCGGATGACGGCGAGGAGACCCAGATAGCTTCATTGCGGGGCTACTAGCACGCTGATTGAGTGAACCAAAAACGGATGATTCATATGCCAAAATGTTAAGCATTCTTGGAATTTCGGAAGTTGAGAAGTATTTGCGGAAGTTGCAAGGCGCGAAATGTGCATGGCGGAGGCACTTTTTCAGACGGAAAGTTTCCCGTTTCTGTTAAGATTTTTAAACGATTGATTAACATTACTTAAAGTTAGGTATATTACGTATTTCTAATGTCTCACTCAGTAAAAGAATATGTTCGTGTTGTCATTGATTGACAATATATAAATCTACATATTATTACACCCACATATTGCAAATTTCATTCATAATAATTACGATATTGCGAGAATTATTGTGTCACATGGATTCTCTGTAGTTTATTTCATGTTGTGATTTAGATTAACGTAATTCTTGAATCAAAATAATTATATGTGACAACATAAAAACAAAGTGAAAAAATAAATTCAATTAACAAACAATAATTATGATATTTCAATGTATACCAATTTTCAAATCAAAATAACTATTGACATGCATTTAGTTTAGTGTCTGAAAGGCATTACCCCTAACTCTCAGTCCCGGAATTCTACTAAAGCAGTAAATTTGCTCTTTTACGGCCTTTACTGCTGCATTGCACAGATAATTTATTCTGCAACTCACTCATTACTTTACACAGATATTGATGGAAGTAACTACATACCTATTCATCCCAACACAAAACTTAAAAATGGCTTAATCTGACCAAAACTTCGAAATGTCATCCTCTTTTTTCCGCAACTAATGCATTATTCACAAATATTATACCTATTAGAGCTTAGATTACGATTCAGGGTTGTGACTACATTTATCTCCTCCACTTTGAGGATAGTAGGTATATCGAGTATCCAAGAAAAACATCAGAATGAATTATTTTTTTAAAGAAAGAAGAACTTTTGTGTGCGTAATTATTAACTAAAATCATAAACATAAATTTATTATATTAACGTATAAATTTTTTATATTCATTTCTGGACTAATCAATTTTACAATAAACCAGAAACGTGAAACAAAGGAATTAATTGAAACTTTCATCAATACACAGTATTTTTTAACCTCTAATTAATTGTGGAAGCATTGGGTCAAAATCAGTTTCACTTTCTTTTATTCCGTGTGTTGAATATGTTAGTTGCATTTCATTTACCCTTTAATGTAACCAATTGTTAAAATTAAATTGTTAAAATAGCATAATGGTCTTCACGTCTCACATTTTAAGAAATAAAACAAAGTTTTAATATAAAAAATTCCTAGTGTAAATTCTCATCGACAATGCCAACAAATTAGAAAATAAACAAATTGCCAATCACGAATCCGGTACAGAACAATAACGCATTTATAGATACAAACGACAATTTTTATGCTTTATTTCGTATTGCTTTTTGAAAAATTATATAATTCCCACTACCTATATTTGAAAATACCCCAACATAATACAAAATATATATTTTACAAAGAAAAAAACGATCATCAATCCTTTGTTTGGTAAAAAAAACTTTTATGAAATGTCCCTTCTATCTCTTTTTGTCTTTTGTGACTTTGTTTCATTGCTATTTGGTTCTACAACAATTCATTAAATAAAAATTGTTGTCAAAAATTCTCTGAAAATGAACACACGGATCATTGTTGATGTTAAAATACTATTTTTAATAGAATAGTAACAATCGGTTTACAACTGTAGGTATAAATGGCAAAATATTTTTATCATATATCATGAGAGAAATTTGTCAAATTGGATGTACACTCTTTCCGTATGTAGTCAATCTTTCATGGCAAGAAGTTTGTCGCTTCTTATTTATGCCTCCGAACAGAAAAAGGGCCCCGCCCCCATAATACGTTTCCCCGGGGAACTGGCAACTCCACGTACCTTGAAGGGCGCATTGGGAACGTAGAGCGGCGGATCCTTGGCTGATCCTGCCAACTTCTCGTTAACTGCGGGAATCCCCTCGTCGGCGTCGCACACACTGTATCGTCCCACGATCGCGTCGGCGGGTTTGGCCTCATACCCCGACGGCTTGCCAACGTGGAAGCCCTTCGCCTTAACCCAGAACCGAAACTTGGAGTTATCTGCGCTGACGATCTCCTCCCCGCGGAGGGTGCGCAAGATCCGCGCGTACTTCTTCAGCGTGATAGTCTTTGTCTTGGCCAAATCGCCGTACGTCTGGATGACCCAGGGCTGGTAGGTGGCCAGCATGTCGTCCTTGTTGTCCACGGAGAGGCGCTGCCTTTTGACGTTGTTGTTCTGCTCAGCGCGGCTTTTAGGCGCGGGCGTAGGCGTCTTGCGTTTGGGCGCCTTCTTGGGGCGGGACTCCTCCTGGGCCATCTTACGGCGCACTCCACGGTCGGCGAGCATCGCAGTGGCCATGTCCAAGCACTCGGTTTACAAACACAAAGAGTTCAGAGAGCGGGAGCTGCGCCCATAGCGCATCAAAACTTACGAAGTTACGAACGCTCGCGCGGATCGAGTGAGCTGCGAGTCAACAGTTACTACGATAAGATCGGGACGCCGGGCTATCCCGTACTGGTGCGTCTCTGTGAAGCACCGACATGGTCGCGGGACCCTCTGCCGGCTATCCCCACCACCGCACACACCGGCCCGTGCAGGGATCGCAGTAGGCGCCGCTAAGCGGTGTGGTCTCGCGCGCTGTCGATGTGAAATAAAATAAAAGGTCACTCCGTATTAAGAATTAGACGAATTGCGTAACGGTTTTTTACTGCACTGGTTTAGAGGGATGAAATTTCGCAGGTGATGCGATTACAATTCCATTTAAGGCGGTCTTAAGCTTACCGATAGAATTACAATGTCGGTACTATCACATTTTTGCTTTTCGTTGTTTGTGTTAGCGGCACGAATTTTTGGTTCATGTTCAAGGTTTTGTAGTAAAGGACTGAGGAGAACATCAATACATGACAAAACTACTCCAATAAATAAATACAATTAGTTATGTTCTCATCATAGGCGCCGACTATATGAGTGCTTCAGTGCACCTGACACAAGAATCTGTCGGATGCTGGCACCCGACATCACGCCACTGAGCCACAGTTTTGAATTTCATGGTATTGCATTTAAAATAACATAAAATAAATGGTATTTACTACAAGTATCATCTTTTTTTACTCACAAATCTAAATACATATTCTATTTTCCATTATAATTTACACATATTCATTCACAAATCAAAACATCAAACAATTTTTTAAAATCAGTATTTACTGTAACAAATGAAGTTTAGTGGAGGCTGAAGATTAAGCCCATAAAGAGAATGGGAAAACGCGAATAAATATTTTTGCAAAGTTTATTAGAATATAATAATTATACAAACGGGCAGCTCTAGTAGCTTCAGTACGAAAAGTACCTGCTGATCAGCAGGTATAAGGAATCCGGGTCCTGTCATTGCTAGAATTTTTCTATTTCTAATATACCTACATATTATTAATATGCAGTATTAAAAAAATAAATAAAAAAATGACGGGATCATCATGATGCAACAAAAAATAGTACGTAAACATATAGGAAACTTAATTTTCTTACTTTAGTACCAAAATGTAAAAAGCTGTCAAATCTCAAAAAAAGACGCAGGTTATATCGTGTTCTTGATTCACACCACTATATATCCCCATCAGCGAATAATAAAAAAAATGTACAATGTATGTCAATTTTTTGTCAAAATTTTTATTTGCGTAGGTCCATTCAAAAAATCCCAGCTCTGGAATCATTTTGGATATTTTTTTTTGCATGTAATAATCAAAATGAGTTCCAAAAAATCTTCTAAGGTATAGTTCAAAACTATCCTATCAACTGTTACATTTCAAGGCTACTATTATTTTTAGAAAATGGTGGCATTTTTTCCAAAGCACCTTTTGCAAAAACGCTTTTTCTTAATTTTAATCAGCATGTAAAATTTGATCATATCGTGTGATAACATCGTTGTAATCAGGATCAAAAAGACTTTTCAAAAATACATAAATCAAATATGGCGTTCATAAGAAAATCCAAATTTGAGTGTTGTAACTCTAATATCAAGAGCGCCTTGAAAAATACGATGACAGATTTAGATTCCTTGTAAAAAAGTGCCTTAGGAACGTCCAAGTTAAAAACGTCTGGGTCTTTTAGTTTTTGCTTGAAAAAATAAAAACGAAAATTACAAATTTCCGTTTTTTCCAATAATTCAAAAACTAAAAATGACACATTAAATTTTCTTTCAGATTATTATTGTTCAGCATAAAAATGCGCAACTTTGCCCTAATTTAACCGACCTCGTATCTCTTATAATAACTAAGATCCCCATAGTAGAGCTCGAAAAAACAACACCCTGTATACGTATCACATATGTTTAAAGCTATATAAACAGATCACAAACTTATTAGTTCGTTACTTTCTGACATGTTGTCTTATTATAATACTAAAAAATCTAGTTTTTTACATTGTTCGCTTTTACCAACTCTTTTTCTTGTCTCTAAACTACAAGTTTGTGTTTATTTATGGGTGTTACGAGTATACAAGCTATCTTAGGGGTAATAATGAGCCTAAAAAAGTTTTAGAAGCCACCAACATTATACATTTCAAAGATAATGTAGATATTGGAATATTTAGTTTTAATTAATTAAAGATATAGTAATAGTATTTTACACTTTTAACAAAGTTTATACGTTTATACTCGTCTATTTGGATCTCCAGCCTGCAAGACACCTTTTAAACATTTTTCATAAAAGAGAATCAAGTTCGGTTTTTTCGCCGTGATAAACATTTTAGTAAATCTCACCAAATTCACTAAGGTTTGAATACGGATAACTAGATTTGACTTTTTATAAATTAAAGTTAATTACTGAAGTCACTATGTTTATTTTATTAAAATTAAGTATTTGAAGATCCACAATATCTTTGAAATGTAAAATTGGTTCCTTAAAAAAAAAATTTCAAGCTCATATTACTTGTGAAACAGCCTGTATATACGAGTATGTATACAGGGCGCCTAGTACTACCTGCATACTACCATCTACGTTCATTGTTAAAAATAATTGATAAGGAACCCAATATAAAAACCAAAACTATAAGTTTGGTGGGCCCATATACCTACGTGCTGGAAAAGTTGTAACAAGACTACATTAGATACACTGATACACATACCAGGTGAATAAAAAGTATGGAACCAAGCGTTTTTTTCGTAAACTAAGCACTTTACGAAAAAATAATTAGTGTAGCGTAAAGTACAACTGAAATGTGACCATTTATCAAAAATAACATTTTTCGAAATTTCTTTTAGTTATCGAGTTTTGGAAAATATTTTTTTTTAAACGGCAACCCGTCATGATAATTTTTTTAATTGAAGATTATAATCTAAAAATGACCTCTAATTAAATAAAATTGTTTTTTAGTCAGTACTTTTTTTTAAATAAATTGTTAAAGTTTCGTTCCGAGCTCATCACGAAGATCTTCCGAACGTAACCGAAGGGGTTGTTTCATGCATTTGGTCTTTGGAGATCCCGTTTTTTTGTGCAGGTGCTTTGGGGTGGTTTCGGATGGATCGAAAAATCTTAAAACATCTCGTTTTCTTATATTTTTAGTACATTCGAAACCACCCCAAAGCACCTGCATAGAAATCAGGGCTCTCCTATGATGAAATGCATGAAACAACCACTTTGGTTAAGTTCGGAAAACCTTCGTAATAAGCTCGGAACGCAACTTTAAAAATTTATTTAAAAAAAAGTACTGGCTAAAAGACAATTTTATTTAATTAGAAGTCATTTTTAGATCATAATTAAAAAAATGATCATGGTGGGTTGCCATTAAAATTTGTTTTTTCCAAAACTAAAAGAAATTTCGAAAAAATGTTATTCTTGATAAATGGTCACATTTTAATTGTACTTTACGCTACACTAATTATTTTTTTCGTAAAGTGCTTAGTTTAATTATCTGCAAGTATGTAGTAGGTATTAAAGGATATTTTTATCTTATTATAATCTTACTCGTACTAATAGATCTATCCCACAAAAAATATTCCGCTCTTTATTTCAATTAGTATTTCTTAATTTTTTACTTCTTTTTAGTTATGCCGTTTGTCAAATGTATTTCTTACTATGCCAGTAAGTAAATGTTAGCAAAACTATTTTGAAGTGGAGTGTAATAAATAGTTGCTACAGCGGTTGTTTTAGCATGGTGGTTAATTTAATATTGTGAAAAAACGCATGATCTAAAATAGAAACAATTTAGTAAAAATGTAGCATCGGAATATCTAAATACTACCTTGAGAAATTTTGTTTTGAATTACAAACGGTAAAAAAGGTAAAAATTTAATTTAGTGAAAAATTTTGACAATCAGATTATTGCAACATGAGAAATACTATGCTAGTAAATAAGTAAAAATTGGAAAAAAATTGTACCTAAGAGAAGTTAGAAGAAGAGGGTTCAAAAATAATGAGAAAACATATGGATTTTTTGTCAAGAAGAGCTCAGTCCATATAAATACTCATTAATTTATGTCTACCATTTTGGTATAGAACAAAATAAAAAAATACTATACGTAATAACTGTTTCATTAATTGCTTTCTGGAAAATCATGAAACCTCCTTGATGTCATTTTATCGCATTTGATTGCAGTTTTTACTCAACCCATTTGCCCCGTATCACCTTACAAACCCAGACCCGCTTTTAAAAATCCCAACCCGTCATCAACGATCGATTTTTCTTTGCCTCTGCGACCATATGGCATTTGAGCGGGTGTCGAACTGTGCGCGCTGATTGTCGGATTTACGGCTAAAGAGCCGGTTGTCGGCTGCACTTAGCTAATTGTGGAGAATACACAGAAAGACGGCTCGGCCGTGCCCCACTAAGCAGATGGTCGCCACTGTCACCGCTCTCTTCCTACCCGCTCTGCCCCCGCTGACCCGCCCGCCGCAGGATGTAATTAAGTGCCCCTCACCCATGCATCCGACTAGGAGGCGAGATCCAATCTACGGAATTAATTTTATCACCGGCCGATTCGTTTTCATCTAGCTCTACGGCCTCTATTCATGCCGACGACTTCACCCCTTACATATGCATGCGCTTTTGTTCACAAACCGATCAGTTTTTTTTCGAAAAGGCGCACCTGAAACAACACGCTGAAAATCTGCGAAAATTACAGCAAAGTGGCGTAATTAAAAGAAAATAAGAATTGCACAATGAAAAAACAAGGTCTCTTCCTTTCCAAAACCAAAAATGTCACTGAAAAAAAAGAGCTAGGCAATTAGACTACCCTAGAAATATAAATTCCAAATTTTTTACACAAAATTCGATATTTTGATACCTATGTGAGTCTGTTTTGAAAATTGTCATTTTATTTATGCGCTACAATTAGAACTGTAAACTGTAAATTAACTCTTCAGTACTCTTTGTATCTGTGTTTGCTATTAATTAACACGACGCCACTGTTCTTCTTATTCCATTTTTGCTATCAGTTTTTTAACGTGATAAGCTCTCTCAGTGTTGTTTGTAATGAGCGGGGTTGCAGTATAATTTTCTATTAA